AAAAATTAATAAATTTTATTCCTGACCTCAAGACAAGTTAGACGCTCTTTATATCTCAAGAAATTAATACCCTGACCATACTTGTCAATTGAGGAGACCCAGAAACCTAGCTTTCAATTCTTCTGTGTCAGTCCTAAATGTTGGGGTATTTTCAGGTAGCTTTTCCTTATCAATTATGAACATATATTCAATCAAATCCTTGAGAAGTTATCATGTATGTAATAAAAACAAATGTCTTTCTTCCCAATAGAGCCGACAACCTTATAATAGTGGGGTTTCTTTCCTGCAAATGTTTCAGGTCACTCTCACATGGGGACTGCAAATATTTACTTTTTAGTTAATTAATGTGAGCCGATTAAGGGACAGAGAGAGCCTGCAGATGAGAGAGAAAAAGAGAAGAGAGAGATTAACGTCCGTATCTCAACGCTGCGATTAAATCATATTTCAATCTACTCTCGCGTCCGCTGAAAAAAAAAATTGATTTTTTAAATAAATTAAAAAGTTGCTGGTATAATATATTTAAAAAATCTAAATTTGTCCCCCTCAAAAGCAATCCAAAAATTACATTTTAATATTCATTTATGTTGGTCATAATTTTTTTTTTTTGTCGCTCAATATATTCATAGGTTGCTGTTATTTTTTAAATTGCACATTTAGTTACATTCATTAAGTCTTCCCAGCCAACCTCTGCCCCCCACCACACGATCTCCATGATTTGTCTCTTTCAAAATCTCGTTCAACATGGGTTAAAGTCAATTTTCGTCCCTCTACCTTCAAATTATGTTTCTAGCCGTCCCATTACTACAGATTTATTCATTGTCATCCCTCTACTCCCAAAATCACACCAATTCTCGTCCCCCTACTCCCTACATTTTGTTCATCGTCGTTCTTTCCTTTGCACCGTTTCTACATCCATTAATTAATTTGGACCGTTAATTGCATCATAGTCAGCAGTTAAAACTTTTTTTTTTCTACATGTGCTGCCAACTTGAGATTTAGTTGGAGATCATGGTTTTATGTTTTGGTTTTAAATTAGGAGCCATAATAGAGGGACAATATTTTTATGCCATTTTTTATACAATTTTTACATATAATTGAATGAGTAGATATATTTAATATTTTGAGTTTCAAATAAATAAAAAAAATCAATCATTTAAATAACATATAAAATTATACAAAAAGATAGTATTAAAAGATAATACAAAGAGATGATATAAAAAAGGAAAATGCTATTGAGACAACCATTTTGTCTCACCTTTTTGTACAACCTAACGTGTCATTAAAATAATTGATTCTTTTAATTTATCTGAGACCCATGATATTGAATGTATTCACTCATTTAATGACATGTGAAAATTATACAAAAAAAGGAAAAAAAAAAAGTAGTCCAAAAACAACAACCTAAAAAAAAATAACCCCAAAACAATTTTCCTAAAACAAAACCTTTCCGTTCAAATAATTTTAATAACTTGAACCCCTTTTTTTTTACCAAAACGTTCATCATCTTCGACGCTAATCTGCACCAATCAAAAAATTCATGAGATAAAAAACTCCTTTTTTTCTTTTTATATATTAACTAAAATCAAACAAAGAAACAACTATAAATTAGGAAAATAAAAAAACAAAAAAAAAAGAAGCTAAAAGGTGAAGAACTATATCTTGATTATCAATGCATGGAAATTTAAATTTTTTTTTAATTTCTTTAAGGACACAAATTAAAAACATATTTTTTTCATAAATATATATATTTTTGTTTATTTTTAATAAACTTAATTTGATTTTTTAACTTTTTAAATATGAATTTTAAATAAAAATTTAAAAATTTATATGAATAATAATAGAAAAGTTTTTTCTTCCTATGTAAAATTTCTATTGAGTACTTTTATTTGATTAAAAAAATTTTAATTATTATTTATATAATATATTAAATTTTTATCTAAAATTGATGTTTAAAAAGTCAAAAACTCAAATTAAGTTTACTAAAAATGAATGAAAATAGTAAAAATATAAAAATTAACATTAATTTTAATGTTGGTGCCATGTGTATGAATTCAATTAGACAATTAATAAATTAAATGTCAAATTTAATATTTTTAATGCAAATTAATAATAAAAATGCCTATTTATACATTCTTAAATGTTTTCAAATTGGGGTTATTAAGAAAACAAGTTCAGAGTGTATAAATATGCACTTTTGTTATTAATTTGTATTAAAAATATAAAATTTGACATTTAATTTATTACTTGTTTAATTAAATTCATACACATGGTATTAGCATTAAAATTAATGTCAATTTTTATATTTTTACTCTTTTAGTAAACCTAGTTTAACTTTTTAACTTTTCAAACATAAATTTTAAATAAAAATTTAACAAATTATATAAATTATAATATATTTTTTTATCAAATAAAAGTACCCAATAAAAATTTCATGTAGGAAGAAAAAAATTTTCAATTGTTATTTATATAAATTGTTAAATTTCATTTAAAATTCATATTTAAAAAGTTAAAAATTTGAATTAAGTTTATTAAAAATGAATAAAAAAAGTATATGTTTAGGAAAAAAAGGGTTCTTAATTTGTATCCTTAGACATATTAAAAAACCATTGATTATATTTCCATGCACAGATAATCAAGATTCAGCTCTTCACCATTTTGGCTTTCTTTCATTTTCCTAATTTATAGTTGTTTTTTTCGTTTGATTTTAATTAATATATAAAGAAAAAAAAGGTTTTTTATTTTACAAAATTTTTTGATGGGTGCATATTGGCACTGAAGGTGATGGACGTTTTGATAAAAAAAACAAGGATCAAAGTAATAGAAATAATTGAAAAGAGAGATCTGATTTAAAACCGCCAAAACATAAAATCATGGACCCTAACTAAACCCTAAGTTTGCAGCATATATGGAAAAAAATAATAAAAAATAGTTTTAACTATTGACCATGATGCAATTAACGGTCCAAATTAACGAATGTAGAAATGGCATCAAGAAAAGGATGACAATGAACAAAATAAAGGGAGAAGAGGGACGACATTGGGTGTGATTTGGGAGTAAAGGGATGACAATGAACAAATCTGTAGTAGAGGGACGGTTATGAACAAAATTTGAAAGTAGAGGGACGATAATTGGCTTTAACCGTTTCAAAAATTCATATCCTTCCCCAGTGCATAAA